AGACAGCTCCGTCTCCGCCGCGCCGAGCAGGGCCTCCGTGAACTCCTTCGCCATTTCCTGCGTGGTGGTCGCCGGCGCGCCCGACCTCGCGAGCAGGTTGCAGAGAAACCGTTGGGATACAGCCCATCGCGCTGCCTCGACCTGCAGATCTTGTCGGTTGAACTGCCGCCGTTTGGGGTTGGTCCGGATAGGTCGGTTGTGGGCCAGCCGGCCACCGAGGTCGACGGTGGCTACTACGATGTTGTGGTCTGAGTCCGCTCTGACTGGGCGCACTGGCTGAGGTACGACCTCCATGTTGGACACTCGGTCGCGGTGTGCTTGGCGCGTCAGGATGTAATCGAGGCACCTACGTTCGCGTCCCGACGGGCCGTTGAACGTATGCCATATCCCGCCCCTCCGTGTGTCGAAGAAGGTGTTGAGGACCGCTAATCTGTTGTCCGTGGCGAAAGTCAGCAGCAGCTCACCATTTTCGTTCAGCTCATTGCGCCCTGTTGTAGATCCAACCATAGGGGTGTCGGTGTAGCATACTTTGCTTTGCAAGTATAGTGTCACAGACAGAGATTCTACCCCGCAGCCTTGTGGTTCAAAGTCCTAAGGGTAGCCAGGTTGCCGATCCAACCAAGGCTGAACGGGTATGGGGGATACTTGGAAAGTATTTTCGCAATTATGCATGCGCGTGCCCAAACAAGTTTCTATGGATGACGATTAATCAATGTGGATTACGAAATTCGACGTCAGTAGTGTATGTGCTACCGAGACGAGGTATCGATCCTTGTCACGATAGCACAGGAGTAAATGTTACAAGTTTCGAAAACAGGAGTAAACGCTACAAGTTTCGTTTTCGGCGGACGCCAAACATTGAGCAACCAATATCAAGACAGTAGTCCGGCGACTTCATCCCCCTGCGCACCCCCCGGCTGGTGCATCCGAACGAATGCCAAAAGGCTTGCAGGACGTTCGTCAGGAGTATGGGAAAGACGCATACTGTGTATTCAGTCCCTGTGGAGGGGAGGTGAAGGTTTGCTTGAGTGCACATGTTGACCCGCCTGCATGCATATGTCAACGGCAGAGTTTGGTTCCGAGGAGGTTCTATGTAGCATGTTTTTCGCAGGCGTTGCTTGAATTTTCCTTGCCGGAAAAAAATTTGGCATATCCTCTCCCCTCCCCCCCCCCCGCTACATGATGTTGGTTCAAGATTCCCCCTTCGGGATTTCAGTGAGTCTCTTCTGTAGACAGGCACACCACTATCTTGGGCACGCCGAGCTCAGATAGGGTCATGACCGCAGAGACGCGCGGCGCAATAAAGTAACGTGAAATATCATATTTAGATTCGCCTGTGCAAAGTGTTTTGACGGCACGTGGTTGGGAAGGAAGACTAACATGTGGAAACTGACGATCTTGATCTTGTGTTTTGCGACACTGCTGTTGGTATCTATGTATCTCTCAACGACCCTTGTCCTTGTCGTGTTCCTTTGGCTCACGGGCGTGAAGTGATGTGGTGTGACGCAGTGTGATGTGATGCAGCAGTACGAGCGATGCCATGTGATGTGCACGATGTCGTGTGAACTGAACGATGTCATGTGACGCGACGCCATGTGATGTGCACGATGTCATGTGAATTAAACGATGTCACGTGATGGTGATGTCATGTGATGTGGATGGCAGGTGCTGGTTCTGGCGGTGGTAGTCCACCTCATCTCGTGCAGGGACTGGCCTCCGTACCTCGTCAAGAACGTTCCATTAGGTACGCGTTCACGCCACATGTGACGACTGTTGCTCATGTCGTAGTTGTTGGTGATGGCTGTGTAAATGGTGTTCTCGTGGTGGTGCCATTGCTGGTGGCGGTTGTTCTCTGATTGTCGTCGCCGCAATAGCCGTGGGTGTCGTACTGGGTGTTTTGTGTGTTGGTGCTTCTCCATGTATCGATTGACTTTCGTTAGTTGTTCTCCAGCAAGACCACATCCATCTCTTCCTCCACAGAAAATAAATGAATTCATCGTGTTGTGTGCATGTGAATGCCCCTTTTCTTTCTAACCCCAAGGCGACCCCCCGCCCCACCCCCCACCGCCACCCACCTCATGTGGTGCATCTGGTTTTCCGTACCGTGGAACATACCGCACCATTTCAGTGTGCGTCACCGGGGTTGCGGGGTTCATCCACCTGTCGGGGGTGGTGATATCCTTCGGTTTTTGGGAGTACTCGTCGCCGTCGCTATGGTCCAACTGCTTCTTCCAGGGAGTCTTGGTATCCACGGGCGCGGGATTGTATTTCGCGGGCGCAGTCGTCAGGGTAAGCTTAACCCAAACCCAAACCCAAACCCTACGCCTCGTATGTCGTCAGCGTCGTTGTCAGGTTGAGCTAGCTAACCGTCTCCCTGAACCCTTTACCGTTGTGTTAATCGTATCCCTGACCAGCTATCGTTGTGTTTGGGCTGCGCCGTTATCAGGGTAAGCTAAGCAATCGTATCCATTGAGCACGACTGGCTCAGGCGTGATTTTCACTCCTTGTGGGACTTCGTACGAAAACAATACTGTTCGTTTCGCTCGTCGTACTACATTAGTAGTGCTCGTGATTCCCGGGGCGTTCGAACTTCGCCTTCGTCGACAGGAAGGGTGCTGACCTTACCCGCGAACTATTGTCCGATTCTGTTTTGTTTTTTATAAATGTTCATTTCGCTTATCGTACGAGGATTCTCGTGGTGCTCATGATTCCCAGGCGTTCGTTCTTCGCCTTCATCAACTCCAAGAGTGCTGACCTTACCCGCAAACTATCGTCCGATGCTGTTCGTTTTGCCTTGTTTTTTGGCACAGGTGTATCGAAACTACAAGGTGTTGATGCTGCACACCGTGGACATGTTGCCTCCCACGGTACAGATTTTGATCGTGCAGGCCCCGATGTGGGTGGCGGCTATGTTCTTGCTTATTCCTTCGGTGGCCAGCTTTGACTTCGAAGCAAACAGGTGCGTGCGTGTTTACAGACGTTAGAAAAATATGTCCATTCTGTAAGGTGCACATAGGAAGCGTTGTTGTTGTTCATGGCGTTATAATAAGACCGTACCGGTCTCCGCTCAGTACCCGTGTTTTCCGCCTGGTTCGTCCAACACGTGCACGATGGTTTCCTGAAATTTTTCATCCCCTAGCTCGAAAGTCTCGAGGTTGTTGTCTAGGTAATACAAGAAATATGTGTACCACGTGAGTGGAAGTTTTTTCGGTCTCCTTGTTGATTCCGACTCACCAACAGCAGTGAGAGAGCAGTGATGCGCGCGGGAACAAGGTCAGTCGCTGTACCCCTTGCAATTTTTTCCGCATGTGCTCATGGTTGATTGGCGACAAAAATATCCGCGGGGAAAGACACTTCGTGTTGTGGCCTCTCTATCCTCCGGACGAACAAACAAACCAGGGAAATCCCATGGTTGTTTCCCTCCTCCGGAGCCAGCCAGCGCGTGCGTGACATTTCCTTTGTTGTGTGGCAACTGCCTGGTATTCAACTCCGCCGTTCTCCGCCATATGCCAATGTACATACAGACGACTGCCTGCAGCCTTTTGCCGGCCGGGTAGGGTGGTGGTCTCCATGTCGGTGGTGGTCTCCATGTCAGAGTATTTATTTATTATCCACAATTGTCGGATAGTTCAGAAATTTCCTGTGGTGTGTGGTGTGCCGAACGCCTCGTTAGCCCCCGGACCAGCAGTCCGGGCCAGACCCCCTCTGGCGTGAACTGCCGTGTGATTCGGCAGCAGGCATAGAACCGGAGCATGTGGATGGCATCCAACCGTGGCGCACGGACAAACATCTCTTGTGTTGTCAATTATTTTTCCGTTTTTTTCCTGAATACAGATGTTGGGTGTGTGTGATGACGTCACTGGTTTTGTAGAGAGACGCGGCAGAGATGGCGCGGATAACCCGGGTGCCTTAATTGTGTGCCTGCATCGTGGAAGACCCCGGAACGATTCCTAGTCAGTGTCGATGTTTACACTGCTGTGCCTAACACAGATGATCTGGATAGATTCGGGTGATAGTCAATTGCAATGATGGCTTTGGTTGGGCGTTCTTCTTCATTGTATGTCCACGGGCTCATTCTGACAGCACTTTAGACAGCAAGTGCATGCCCCGAGCTTGTGTACCATGCACCATGGTGTTATTATTGTACAGACAGCACTTCAGACAGCAGTATGCTGTAGTCGACATTCATTTTGGTTAAATGCGGGACAAGGGGAATGATGCTGCTGCTATGGTCGATTTTTAGTGCGTGGGCGTGTAGTTCAGTTGTGAGCATGCAAACGTGCTGCAGGGATTGCAGGTGTACCTCCTCGGGCTTGCGTACCCTTTCCTTGCTAATAGTGTGTGTGTTCTTTAGATCTTCTGGTGGCTCTAGCATTTTTGTGACCACGGACCGAGCCTTTGCTAAATTTTGGGATTAGCAACTGACACGAGTTCAATGTGAAGAAAACACACACGCAACACATAGAAGCAGCAGTGACCGTCATGATTCTTTTTCTCGTCAGATGTTTGTGCTTTAAAGCCCTCGGAATTCGCCACGTCCAACAGCAGTGCGTCTTCTTCCGTTCCCCCAACGGACGAGACTCTTGTTCTTATTTTGCCTTGGATGAGTTCGACGTGGGAGGTGTTAATTCTGTTCCTCCCATCCTTTGTGCTGACATTCAGTTTTTTTCTGTTTTTTCTGTGGTGGGCCCGTTATCAGGTGTCGTTGAGAAACTATTTTCCTTGACTTAACTCAACCTCTTGGTATGAGTACATAAATTCTCAAAAGGGTTATATACTCGAGAATGGTTGACTCCCTATTGAGTCTGCCCTAACCTTAACCGTAACCCTAACCCTAACCCTAACCCTAGGCATATTCACCGAAGGATAGGTGATACCAGCCGGCACAAGATGTGTTTAGGTTGAGGGAGCGGGAGAGGGAGAGGGTGAATAGGAAAAGACCGACACTTCAGGCGCAAACGGTCGACGCGACGCGTGATATATATTCGCATGTTTTTGCACACCGTTTTGTGCATTTATTTGTGGAGAGTATTTTCGAAGAACTACAAACAAATCACAGCAGCAGCAGAGCCTCAGTAGAGATAGATATCAGGGTCGTGCCAATGCCGGTGGTGGGTGGTCCGAAGTAGATGTACTGTGGGCGAGAACGCTAGCGTTCGTTCATCTCACTCGACGTTTTATGTTTGTTCACACCCTACCCCTCTGTGTTGTATGCACGTGTGTGATGGGCTCATTTTGTCTTTCTCTGTTTGCGTATATTGGTTTGTTGGTTGGTTGTTTTGTTGCTTTGTTGCAGGTGCAAGGGTAACGCGCGTCACGTGCTGCTCGGCGCTTTCAACTACGCGGGGCTGCTGGTGATCGGGTCGGTTTACCTGCTCTGGAAGATGAGGGATGCTCGCAGACAGGTGCGTGTCCTCCTTATTACACATTGGCAGGGGTGGGGTACGCTGCTTAATTCGGTTCTGGTGGTTGGCATATCTAGTATAGCGCCTTCCTTGACTGCCCTCCCGAGGATTTTTTTGTTGGTACTACTGTAAATGAATGAGAGAGGGGGGGGGGCGTGTACTCGTAGTCGTGCATGCCGTAGTCGTTAGACGATTGACCTCGCATCCCTACAAAGCCGGGACGGAGCACGCCGGGTTCTCACCGGACCAGGCTCTCACATCACCAAGCGCGAAGCGCCGTGAGACATTTGACGAGTCGCATGAAGGGTGCGCTGCATCCTGCTAAGGGTGTTCGGCATCTTGTGCTTACTTCCTTGCGTAGGGATGACAGCTGCGTATGACTTTATATATTTTGTGATGCTTTCAGTTCCTGAGACAGTTGTTAGCACTGTGTAACTGCCTCGAGGGTGCTTGACCATTTTGACATAACGTGGTGCGATAATCCCCCTTGCGCGGAGTGAGGGTTCTCCACCCTGCACAACATTATCCACTCGACCACCATTATGGTTACCGCGAAAAAAAAAACAGAGGTACAAAAAAAAACGGTAACCTGGTTGCCGAGTTCACGAAGTGAATTGGCTTGTTTTACAACGTGGTTGCCAATCAACGAAAACCCAATCCCGATGGCAAACACCGAGGGGAGGGCTTGTTTTACAACGTCGTTGGCAAGCGACGAAAACCCTTCCCCCTGCTAACACGAAGATCAAGCTTGCCGCGCGAAGGCCACTGACCCTCGTTTACCGTCACAATACCGCATGTTCGTCACGAACGTCCCCTCGACCATGAATTCCGTCCGTCGTCTAAGGATATCGGTTTCAGCGTTGACGTCATGGGCCACGAACCAGAGTGAATTACATGCACCTTTCCGTAACGGAGATATCGCCGTACTTTTCTCTGCCGAAACGGAATCAACGAGCCAGCATCTTGTGATATTTTCCTTTTGCATCACCCACGTGCAAATATGTATCTCACGACGTAGACAACGGCAGCACGTATGATACCATGTGTACTGGCGATCCGCCATATTGGTGCTGCAGACGAAGGAATATGTATCTCACTACAGCAATCTGTACGTGTGACAACCCCACGTCTCCCCCTTCCAGCAGCACGTGTCGTAACTCTCCCTCCCTTACTTTGCGATCTGTCCGCTCTTGCCACCGCACCCAGATGACCGAGTATCGGGCGATGATGGTATCCCTGGTGTCACTGTTGGTGATGTTGGCGGCGGTCAACCTGACGGCGGGGAAGATAGCGGAGGACGACACCCTCACGCGCCGCATCGCCTTGCTCAACAACATGGTCAGGGGCCTCCTGCTATTCTGGCCCGTGATCTTCACGCCTCTCTGCAAGTACGCCAAGCGGGACCAGCGATACGCAGAGCGGTTTTCGGCGGGCATGAGGCCGTCCATCACTCCGGCAATGCTCAGGTAACTCAGAGTGTGCGGTGTGTGTGCGTTTACACTCTTTTTTTTTGTATTCATACGGTAGGAGATCTTGAGAGCGCTTGTGGGTGCAGAAATCCTTCTGGGTCGCTTCGGAGTATGTATTAGCGTTTTGTTTTTTTGTAGCGTATTCACTCGTATGTATACCCACGGACCCTCAATGTTATCCCCATGCCGACCCCATCGGCAAGAGCGCTTGCAGGCGTAGAGATCTTGCTGAGCCGTTACGGACCATTTGTTTCGTGCAAGTAAGTGTACGTGATTAAAATTGAATGAGATTATTGATGAGCGCTTGCTAAACTTGGATCGGTCCGTTTGTTTCCTCTTCTCTTCTCCTTGGGCAGGGCGTCTCTCGCTGACCAGCTCAAGGTGGACAAACTGTGGGCACTGTTCGGAAAGATAGCGGAGGAGAGACTTCCGCCAGCCTTGCCCGGGTTCTACAAGGTAATTATGTACTGCTGTACAGTAGAATTACCACAACCTGTGGGCGTGGGCGGTGTACTTCGTGTTATTTTGTGCTGCATTCTGATGGCCTCGATATGAAAAATAAGACACACACACCCTTTTTTGTTGTTGGCCTCTTTTTCTCGCTTAGGACTGACGTGTTGTTACTTGCAAGCCAGGAACGCCCGCACACATTCGGCTGTCTTGCCAAAGTTTGCGGTGGTGCTCCTACAGCCGGGTAGCGGTATGCGTTCGATGTTGCGGACAATTGGCCGCACGTTCGTTACAGGCGCTGACGTTCTATCGTCGATCGCAGCAGCGAACTGACGACCTGGTCCTAAATGTTGGGTCCTTTGGGTTGATTTTGATGCCAGGCGGTGATGGATAGAGATAAGGAGGAGGGCCACTTTCAGAGGCAAGCCATGACGATGGACATCATTGACACATACATCGCGGACAATGCGGTCTGCAGGGTGGACCTTACAGAAGCCTGTCGAGATAGGATATTGGCTTCAGAGGTCACCAGGTAGGGATTCGGTTCCAGCTTTCCTCAACCCTCGTGTCTTTTCTACAAAACGATGTAAGTTTGCTACCCGTTTGGTTTACGGTACGTACGTCGCGTGTTTTTCTTTCAGCTTCAAGATGCACCAGATAGGTGCTCAATGCCCTGCCTGTAAGCTGGCAAGGTAGGGTGTCGCCTATTTCTATTGTTCTATCGCAGGTTTCCACTTGTACAAGTTGTGAATGACCACCTATTGTAATATAGTAGTTAGTACGTGGTGCGGCCTTTCGTACCAGGAGCGTTTCCTCTGGGTATCACCCCCCCTCTTCTCGGCTTGGGCGTTACAGTTACAACAGGCCGCTCGTGTTTGCAGAGCAGCATCAGAAGGATATATGAGCGAATGTTGATATGGCCAAATGCACTTGACATTGACGGCTGGCTGGCAATACATTCGACGACAGTTGACATTGACAGCCATGTATGCGGCGGCGTTGATGGCTTGCTATGCATCCATACTAGGACAATTGATGTTGACTGCCATGCATGTGGCGGCTGGCTATGCATGCGATGCGACGACACAGGTATACCATCTTCAGTGAGGCAGCCGCGGAGGTGCTAGAGGTGCTGCAGGAGAGGTGCGAGATGGCCTTCCAGGCAAGCCCGGCCTATGAGGAGCTGCTGCGAAAGGCGGAGCAAGACGAGGCCCAGATGGAAGCCCTTGACAAGGTAGGTAGGGTAGGGACTGCCTGTTGACCCACATATTGAGGTAAAGAGGGGGGGGGGGGGGGGGGG